TTATTGTTATTATTATTATTATTATTGTTATTATTATTATCGCTAGTATACAGATGAAGAGCCACAAAAACCAAGGTTAAGGTCATCGGATCGACTCACTTTTCATCACTGATTTGTTTGTAGACTCCGCTACGATCGATGGAACCGCAGCAGCATTTTGGTCACAGAACAACTTTTTTACATCTACACAATTTCAACAAATACAGACCGCTGTTGATCAGGTGAAAAAATTAGAAGAAACAAATATTTTAAACCAAACACAGTAAATCTCTTTGATTTCTTCTATTCTTTCTTTTTTTTTTTTCGTTGTTGAATTCAAATATTTTATGCGCATCTTTTTTTTTTCTTCTTTAATTTCCACTTTCTCTTTTGGAAACGCATGACATCATTTGCCTAATATGTACTTATATATTATTGACGGATAGGTTAAAAAATACTATGGGCAAAATTATTGAAACATTAGTCAACTGTAGCAGTAATAATAATCATATTGTTACTAGTTAATGCCAATAATAGTAGCAATAATAACAGTAGTAATAATAGTAATAATAAAAATAATAATAATAATAATATCGGTAAAATTGATGACAATTAATTGTATACCAATTTGCGTATTGATATATTTTAGAGATGACTAAACCGCATTTGTTTTGTTTCACCGGTCATCTGACCAAATTAAATTTTCCAAAAAGCGGTTGAAAAAAATTGAAGAAATATAAAAACTTTCTAAATGCTTGTATTTCTTTTATATCTGTCTAAAAGACTTGCTAGTTAGAATGTTTAAAAGACACTCTTATAAAGAACCTTTTACTTTTGAGTAACTAAGATAAAGATGATTAAATATGAGCTGACAATTAAATTTCATTGTTCACTACAGGTGCTTAAATCGTTAAAAATTTTCATTAGGAGGCTTATTCTCTAAAACTCTAATAAATCAAGGACATTGCGAAGAAAATATTCTTAGCTGGTCAGAATCTTTACTACAGTTGAGTACTGGAAAAAAAAGTGTTAAAAATAAATGTTTAAAAGTCGGTGAAACAGTGACAACTAAATACCTTAGGTGGTTGCTGTATCATTTGTCATAGCGGTTCTCAAATAGTCGACATTAGCTGTCTTTTACTGCTGCAACTTTATAAAGCAAAAATTTATAAATTTATATTTAATTGTTACTGAACAAAACATTAATTGTTTTCTGTGATATTTATAAAATTGTAAAAGAAAAAAAAAAGTATAAAATTTTTGAAGGAAGATGTTACCACTACTAACAGATTGGTTGGACAAATTAATAGCAGCATAAAAAAACCTGTTTCATTAATATTATGCGACAAGCAAAAAATCTGTTGCCAGAGTTTTCTCAGTGGCAAAAACGACGACGTTATTTTAATTTTTTTTCTCAGTTCTTTGGAATTTTCAATGCAAATCGGTGAATTTTACTCATTTTTGTCAGCGAAATTGCCTGTTTATTTTTGATGACAAAGGTTATTTGTTGGCTTTGTTCAATGACAAAGTCATCTGAAAAGAGACTGGCAACTTGAGCGTGATACCACCTGAAAAGACAAAACGAAAATAAAAAAAAAATAAAGAATTTTCTTTTTTTATTTTAAAAATTTTACTTTTAATTGTTGACATTGCCTTATTTAGCTCTAAATTTGTAGTAGTAAATTTATCAAATTTTTTTTATACAACGAAACATTTGCACTGCTTTATGAGGAAAAAATTTTTTTTCAATTTATTAAGTATTCGCGTAGGTTGATAATAGAGACAAAGATCAATCTAAAAAATAGTGTAAATTAATTATGCTAGTAATAATCTTTAATCTACTAAACGACAGACGTTGAATTTTATTGCAGCTGATTACCTGTCAATTTGGCAGATAACATTGGTCTTAATTTTTAGCAATTAATTGTTTTTCTTAACATTCTTAAATTCTAAAAATTTATCTAATCTGTAGCTATCAATTTCTTTAGCAAATAAACACTTAACAGTTTGATAGTTATTCTTTCTTCAGTAGGGAACAACTTCGGGATATCTTAGTGACTAGTAACTGCTATTTTACAAAAAAAAAAAAAATGTTTTACCAGTTTCAAAACAGCTACAGCTGAAAAAATTGCTAAAACGTAAATAAAAGAAATTTGTTATTTTCTTGAATAAAACTTAAGTGGTTAAAGTGATGTTTCTGAGGCTTTAAACAGTTATTAGAAATTCGATTCTTAATTTATTAGAACATGTTGTAAGTGATTAAGTTAATACTATTTTCTATTGCTTAGTAACAGGTACATATAAACAGTTAAGCAATAATAAGCAGAAAAAAGTACTGGTACTAAATGAAAAAACTGTTGAAAAATAAATAAATAAAGATAAATTCTAAAAGTGGTCAAAATAATATTATTGCTTTGAAATGTTACTGATTTATTTTAATGTATAAAATCTTTTTGCTTATTTCAAACAAACTGTTTTATTTAGTTCTGTTGTAAACTATTTTTCACAATATTTTGTCTCATTAATTTTTTTTTTGACTTTTACTTCGTTTTCTTTTTTCTTGATTTTTTAATAACAACTTTACTGAGTTGATAAGTTGTTAAGTGAATAATCAGATATACTACAGTTTGGTCAGGTCTTGAAGAAGAAAAAATGACGGTTGAGGAGGAACATTGATCTTGCGAAGTTTTTTTATTTTAGGTAGCTGGAAATGGTTATCGAACTAAAAAACGCACAAGCTGTAATACCAGCAGAACTTCGTCGTTACCGTCATCTAGTGGCTTAGTATCGCAACCAGAAGAACTATGCCTCGTATGCGGTGATAAAGCTTCCGGATATCATTATAATGCTTTAACATGTGAAGGTTGTAAAGGTACAATGGCATCACTTTTCTTCACGCAAAATTTGAATTCTCTTGTACAAGTTATAAATTTACTTGATTTTAAAATAGATACTAAGAGAATTTTATTTTTAGTTTAAATCCGGTTTTTTGTTATACAATATAATAGAAATCAATTTTTAGCTTAATCATACAATAATAATACCATTTGCTTCTCTGTTTTTGCATTTAGGCTTTTTTCGGCGTTCAATAACTCGAAAAGCAGTTTATTATTGCAAATATGGTGAATCCTGTGATATTGATATGTATATGAGACGAAAATGTCAACACTGTAGACTTAAGAAATGCATGGATATTGG